AGGCCGTTTTGACATGAACGGATGGGCCGAAGGTCGTTTCGATATGAATGAATGGGCCGAAGGCTGTTTTGACACAAATGAAAATTTGAATGGGCCAAAGGCTAGTTTGTTAGGAATCGCAGTCATACGACTTAAATTGTGTATATATACTAAATAAAAATATGAATATGGGCCCAAGGCCGTTTGAAGCTTGTTGTTCTACATATCGTTTGTATAACTTTTGTATTTGATATTATTCACTGGGCTATCGCTCACGCTCATTCATGTATTTGTAGGTGAGCCAGGAGAGGTTCAGACCCAGCCTCAGTGAAGCCTATGTGAAACAACCCAAGTTTTTGGAGAGTCAGCCCTTGTGTCTCACGCACGAGACCCGTCTTCGCGTTTTTGTCATTTTGTTTTGTGTTGTCATGATGGCGAAGTCTTTGAACATGTCTGTATATAGTTTTCATGGGTTGACATAGTTTTGGATGATCCTGTCTGTACAGAACTTTATGGTACTGTATTTCTATTGTGAGTTATTAACGTACATATGTTGGTTTATTTGATGTGCCATGTAAGCACAGCTCTATGGACAAAGTTTTAAATTTTGCTTCCGTTTGGCCCATTTATTCTGATGAGTTATGTCTATTTTGGTTTGAGGCCATAGGTAATCTCAGGATTACTGGCCGGTTATGTCCTTAACCCATAGGGGCGGGTTCGGGTCATGACACCGCCGGGCAGCCATTCTTTCAGCGTTTTTCTTCTTGGCAAGTTGTGTGAGTGACAACCCAGCCATGTCCTCAGGGTACGTGCTGGGAAGGTCTTCTAAACCTGTAAAGATGTCATCGAAGGAAACGTCCCCTTGGCCTGAGGTGAAAGGTGGGTTGGATGAATTGAGGCCGACTTTCTCAAAGTCCAACTTCAAAGCCTCATCTACTTCGGCTTCAGACGGGTTTGGCGAGTTAGAAACCTCCTCAGCTACCTCCGCCTGCTCCGAGTCGGATCCGCCCAAACCAACTTGCCTCAAGTTTTTGAAGTTGGTTTAGATGAGGGCCGTAAGAAAATCTTCACCCCTCGGAACTGGGATGTTTTCTGCCGCCAAAAATGTTGTGTACGTTGGCTCGTATCGAAGAAGAATGTGGGTTGCCCTCCCTTGTTTCTGATGGCTCGGACGGCCAAAGTATTGGAGCACGACTTTAATTTTTGTCAGAACGGCATCGTCGGTTGAAACCAAAACTTTCTTCAAATCGTTTCCTGCACAAGTAAAACCATGAGACCTCAAAGAGAAAGTCGAGTAAATATAAGAAAAATAAACACAAGGGGTTGTGGCCACCTAGTTCGCCTCTCCATCTAGGTATAGGATCAAGGCGGTCCTCGCCTTCACCAAATTCCCAGTTACCTCGGACAACGACCATGATATCATCGACTCGTTTGCCAGAGCTGCAAAGCATAGTCACTAATTGATGGTCGGTGTCCTTGGCCCTAAAGAAATAGTGCCCATGCCGGCCAGAAGACTTGGCCAAGGCATAATAATGCTGAATAACAGGTATGCCCAGATTAATCCTAAGGCGACGGTTTAACTCTATAATTCCCATTGTGATTCGGAAAAAGCTTACATTAGGTTGGGAAGGGATTAGACCCCAATGGCGAATGACGGCGCTAAGGAATGGGTGAAGGGGGAAACAGACTCTGCCGTCTGCAATTGATAAGAGAGGGAAGACGATTGTGCTTTCATTAGCCCTCTCCATATCAAGGGTGTTGTCTGTCACAAGTGACAGACGGACGTCATCAGGGATGGAAAAATGGCGTCGAAAGCGAGAGACTCGATCCGCAGAAAGGAGGTCTTTCAAATGCTTTGCCATTTTCGTCAGTTTATGAAGTACGTTAAATTAAAAACAAACCAGGAAAAGGGATTCGAAGTTGAGAGGAAGAGAACTTACAAGAAGCGAAGGAAACAATGAGGGATAAAAGGAGGTTGCAGTGGCGAATCGAAAGACACACCAAGAGCTTCAAGTATTCAGAAATTAGTGTGCATTAGAAAAGACAACAAAATTTTATATCACCATAAATGGAAAAAGCATACAAAGGGGCGGGAAGTTGTAATGATCACCGAAAGACGTGTGAGCTCTGACATTCGCGTTGGAATGAGGTTAGCCGCCGAATTTCGGCTCTGACTTTTCAAGTTCAAAACCAAACACAACATCTAACTGTTGTTAGCGGAGTGTTTGGGGGGCAATTGTGGGGGCCGAGTATTAGGGGATGCAAAGAGGCCGAATAAGTGAACTTGGGGAGTCAAGATATATACATTTTGTTCGACCTCGTCTTATACAAACCCAGTATCCTAATCGGCCATGTAGCCAGTTGATCAAGGAGCCGAGTGGAAAGCATTTTGCAACAAAAAGAGCCGAATAAATAATTACATGATGGATTAAAGGTGGGCCCAACCCTGAAGTCCAAGAAAAGATATAAATAGAAGAACATCAACTAAAGAAAGGTATGTGAGAACAAGTAAGCTTAACTTAAGAAAGAAGCAACCAAGAGAGTAGTTACTGACTTAATTGTCGGAGTGCTAATTCTGGTACCCCCGACCGGAGTGTTCATTCTTTTTCAAGTGACTAGCTGTGGATCACAAGCACCCTCCAGGACCTGAAGAGTATTTTCGAACCACTTCTCCACACTCTAGAAAGCCGCAAAACGGGAAATCTTCCCCTTCCCAGACAAAGCGTCCGTTCAGGGTTCCTTGGATAGGTCTATGTAGTAACTCATAGTGCTTCCCAGCTTGTTTAGCCTTGGCTCTTCCAGCAATCTCTTTTCCTTTTCTCACCCAATCCTCTTTGGTAGGTGTGTAACCTAGGCCAAAGGTATGAGGATTGTGTGGCACTTCGGCCAATTCAGCGACGCCCTTCCGGCCACTCCTTCCTAATCCCATTTCGGGTATATGTTGAAGCTTATTTATGAGGTAAATAGATTGGGCACTGACATACAGGCCCTCATCAACAGCTAGAAGATCTTGCAGTACCCGAGCCTCAGCCAAGGTGAACCCATACAGGAAGACATCCACTTCGCCATGTGCAATTTCCAAGATTGGCATAGTAACCTTTGGCGGCGGATGTATGGAAGAGTTTCCAAAAACAATTGCTACCCCATTCCCATGGGGGTATTTCAGCATCTGGTGTAGGGTGGAAGCGACAGCCTTCACTTGATGCAGCCTCGGCCGTCCAAGGAGTAACACTACAACAAAAATAGTCTTTAAAGACGAAAACTAATGATGAAAATAAATTTTGTCACAAAATACGTATCTTTTAATGACGAAAATAATATTTCGTCTCAAAATGTACCATTTTTAGAGACAAAAATAAAATTTCGTCACCAATCTAAATACATAATAAAAAAATTAGGTGACAAAATTATTTTTTTTCATTATTTATATTTTTTTTGTCACCAAAGATTTTCCCACTATTTTTTCGGAGCGTACCAAAATTTTGAGACTTTTGGTGGCGAAACAATTGGTCACCAATTATAAAATTATTAATGACGAATATATTTTTGTCACCAATAATTTTTAATATTTTAATATCATTTAGTGACAAAACTATTTTTGTGGCCAATATTTTTATCTTTGGTGAAGAAATAATTTTGTCACCAATAAATGATTTAGTTGCTAAATATTTTAAGGGAAATGAAAATATATTGGGCCTACTGGAAGCAGATTTGTTTTTCTTAAAAGAAAAAAAAAAAAAAAAAAAAAAAAAAAACCTGTTATGCTTGGTTATACACAGAGACCTCACACACACACACACACACCACACACACACACACATACCATACATACACACAATAATTTCTCCATCAAACCTAATTTCACACGCACACACAATAATTTCTCCATCAAACCTAATTTCACACACACACAAACTTCACACACACACACACACACACCTTATACTCATTCACGGGACTGAGTTTCCTCACCGTCCCTGCTAACATTTCATCGATTCACACACATTGCCGGCGTGCCAATCGGCTCATCGTCGACAGCCTTTCCTCAATGCCGCCGTTGGTTTCTCCTTCCCTTGCTGCCGATCATTAGCCTCTCCTTTCCCCACCACCGCTGCTATGCCGATCGGCTCACCACCACCGCTGCTATGCCGATCGGCTCACCACCACCGCTTTTAGTCTCTTACTCTCTCTCTCGATGCTCTCTCTGTGTAATAGTTTCGTCCGTTGCTCTCTCTCTCTGGTGTATATGCTCTAGATACATATAATATATATATATATATATATAACTTTAGCAGCCAATGTTCATCTTTCTTTATATGTGAATTTTTTTCTCTTTTTGTAAATCCAATTAAAGCCATTGTTCTGGAAATTGAATTCTTTATATGATTTTTTTATTGGCTTGTGTATTGAACCAAGATTTAATCCATTGGCTTTCCTGATTGTTTAATTAATTAACCTTACCTTTTTAAATGCTTCTGTTAACTAGGGGATTTGATTATTATTTTTATTTATTTATTACATTTGTCTTCAGAAAGAAGAGAGGGCAAAACTCATCTTATAGTAAGCTCGAAGGATGTGGAGATTGTAGATGAAGTAATAGGATATTTGATTGAGTTCCTTATTGTTACGTTTGGGAGTTTTTTTTTTTTTTTTTGAGATGTTTATAAGCTATATTTTGTTGATATGTTGATTAGATTTTGGTATGAGGACAACATAATTATTTTGGTCCTTTAATGATTGTTTTTGTTTTCTACCTTAATGATATTCGTCTTTATGCAATGAGTGAGGTTTTTAAATATTGATGTTGAATGAATTAAGACATTTTTATCTTTAAATATGAGAAGACTTTAATAGTAGCATTGAAAAAAAGGCTAGCATATTTATAATCCCTAGCCACCATCTTTATTGCCACATTATCTTAGGTGATTTTTCTTGATTTACAGGGTCTTAATTTTGAGGCCCCCTTCCCTTCAGTTCAGAGATTGTCTCCTGATTCATGAACAATATCTATTTTCTTTCAGCATCTCTGCCCATGGAATGCCAATTTTTGGTGTGATTGTTTTATCTATCCTTCCTTTTCACGAAGTAATTTTATGTGCTTTTCATCTATTAATTATTCAGAGTTGTTTAGTATTATGATTTCTACGATCCTTTTACGCCTCAAAATCTTCTTCTGACAACTTTTTTTTTCTCTTCTATGACACTGCATATTGTCCTTCACTGACCCTTTGAGTAATGGACTATTCTGTTTTCTAAGCCTCTAATAACCTTTATGGTTCAGTTCTATTACTTTTTTCAATTTATTCTATAGTACTACAACACTATCATATTTCTATATAAATATAGATAGGTAGAAGTCAGTAGTTTACATGATAAGTGTTAAGATGTAGAAATTTGTTGTAAGCAGGGAAATGCCCAGAGACCAGAAGTGCGTGTAGTCACATGGAACAATGATGAGCTTACAACAGATGCGCTACCTGTCCATGGCTTTGAGCATTACAAGGCAAAGGATTATGCCCTTGCTCATGTTGCATTCTCAGGTAAAAGTGTCCAAGAGTTTATGAATTTGCATTCAAATGGTGGTAATACTTATGCATTTTTATGTAGGTAGCAGCTATGTAGGTGGGCAGTGGGCGGCTGGTGATAAGCCATTATACTATATTGTATCCCCAAAGGATGTAGTTATTGCAAAACCTAGGTTAGTTCAATTTTATCTTTCCTTAGTTTTTATTTTAATAGAATGTCAGTATGTAATTTTCCTATTGATAATTAATTACATCACAAAAGGCCAGAATATTTATAATCCGAATACACTTTTCACATATCCAAAATACATTCATATTTTTTTTTCACTTTTTACATATTTCAATACACTTTACACATTTTTCAACACTAATAACAGCCCTAAGGGTTGTTTTTAGCATTATCGTTAATTATATCAATCTATATGCTATCTTATCTATAAAGTAAGAAGACATTTTTTTCGGACTTGTGAATCCAATCACTGCTTAATGCTATCTGTCAAGTTTAGTTCATGAGATGATTATTATGCAAACATTAGGAGTTATCTGTTTAAAGTTCTTCCCCGCTTCTCATCTTTTTCATATGTCTGCTCACCAAATGTAGTATCTTTAGAATTCCAATTAAGCATAGACTCCTCACCATTTATGGATATCTAAATATGAATACTTCAAGTTTGTGAGAAGGTAGATAGAAGTGAAAAAAATCTGGAAGTTCTAATTGAAAAATAAGAAAATTGTGAAGCAAATTAAGAAGGTGCATGAGCAGATAGGTGTCCCAGTTGGTTGGGGGGTGCTTAAGTAGACAAGTGTAGAATTCATCCATTAGTTTTAGTGAGTTCAATGAAGTTTTTATTTAACAAATTTAAGTGTATGTCATCTTAATATGGTGAGTGAATTGCCTGAAAATGGAATGCTTTAAATTTTAATTCACCTTGATAGAAAAAATTGTGGGATTTAAAAGCATAATTTTGATTCCTTTACTGCTCGCATTGTTTGTTTTTCCATTATATCATCTCCTATGCCATATTAAAAATCACAAACTCTGTTGATTTACAAATGCAATTTCTTGTTGATTGCTAGGGATGCAAAAGATCATATTTCTTGGCTTCTTCAACATGGATGGCACGAAAAAGCTTTAGCAGCAGTTGAAGCTGGGCAGGGACGAAGTGAGCTTCTTGATGAGGTATTTCTGTTTGATTTTAGTTTAACAGTTCATTTATTTATTTGCATTGTATTACTTACTAAATAAGTAATTGATGCATGATTTACATATGAAATGTTTACATTTTCTTTCCCATATTTTCATGGAAACAATGTAATATAGAAACCTACAATTTGTCTAGATTCTCTTATTTTTTGGAAGCAGGCTATTTATGTGTTGTAATTTTTAGTCATTCTGGGTTACTTTGTGAATATGTCAATTAATCCCTAATGTTATAATCATGAATCACCTAGTTCATGAGGCATATGGGTTGCATATGTTCATAGCTTGAATAGTTTGAAAGTGTTCTAGAAGGATCATATTGTTTTGGGACCAAAAACTATGCTCAATGCAATGCACTGGATACTTGTCTAAGGCCCAACATTTCAAAATTCAAAATAATGGCCTTTATGCCCCAAATGCTAACATTTGGAAATTCAAAACAATTGCCTTTATGGCCTAAATACTTATTCGGCAACAAAGCCAAGAAAATGATCAACCCACTGAAATCCGTCCATAGCATAAATAATTCAATGCTCCAAACCTTTACGAACCAAAATTCATGCCTCTTTTGTGGCTCCAAATTAAAGCCTTTTAAGGGCATTGTGCTTCTAAAAAATAAAAGAGCGACATTAGGCATTCCAACTCCCCCGAAGTATGAGGTGGTTAAAATTAAAATCTAGTCATTTTCTAGATAAAAGATGGTGCCTAGTCCTTGACAATTGGTTATATATGCCATTTCCATTTATGACGTTCGGACAGTCATTTTTGTAGCCATAGTATGGTCGTTTTCACTATCTCCTGTTGTCAGCTTTGATTGTTTCAATTGCGAAATCTTTTTCCTGTACATGTGGACAATAGCTAAACTTTGCTATGTATTTCCTTCCACAGTTCCATATTATATTATAGTATCGGTAGTAATACATTTTCAATTTGTCCACTATGTATGCAGGTGGGGTCTAGCTATCTTGATCATTTGATTGTGGAAAGGAAATATACTGAAGCCGCATCATTATGTCCCAAATTGTTGCGAAGATCGGCTTCAGCATGGGAGACATACTAAATACTATTAAGTATGACTCTCCTGTAAATTTATTTTTAATAACTAGCAGTGGGTTATTTCTCACAGATGGGTTTTCCACTTTGCTCATCTTCGTCAGCTTCCTGTATTGGTTCCATACATACCAACTGAAAACCCAAGGTTACGTGATACTGCTTATGAGGTATGCAATATTTGATACTTCATATGCTCTTTGGACTTGCTAAATTGGAAATAAAGGTCTTAGCGGTTTTTGTTAATCATCTACAAGTAGCTCTTGTTGCTCTGACAACAAATCCATCTTTTCACAAGGATCTCTTGTCAACTGTCAAATGTTGGCCTCCTGTAATTTATTCTGCCTTGCCTGTTATCTCAGCCATAGGACCTCAGCTTAATACTTCATCCATGACTGATGCACTAGGAGAGGTCGGTATGAACATTGTCATCTTGATATTGATTACGAATTTTGGTTATTATTACGTCTTTTCCATTATGAATTACTTTACCATGTCAGGCACTAGCAGAGTTATATGTAATTGATGGACGGTACGAGAAAGCTTTTGCACTATATGCTGATGTAATTGCTCTATATGGAGTCTTGCATAGTTTACGCAGAAAACCAGCGACAGCTTAAAGTAGTTACACTACTGAATACACTTACATGATGCTCTGCAAAATCAAGCTCTGACTATACTAGTTTCTTGACATTAACTTGGTTGTTTCCTTATTTAATTTTCTTTTATTCTTCAGCTTATGAAGCCAGATATATTTGACTTTCTCGAAAAACATAACTTACATGATGCTCTTCGTGAAAAGGTATATGTATGTTACAACATTAGGTTATTTTTTTTGGTTCGTATCATATCTAAGCTTGAAATTGCCCATTTCCTTGATTTGCTTTTTGTTTCTGTTGTTCTTATTGTAATCATTATCACTTGTCACCTAGAAAGGAAAAATTCAATGAGAACACTAAAACTTCTTTATTAGCACTTTCTTTTGTAATCTATGAATGTGTAGGTTGTCCAACTAATGATGACAGATTGCAAACGTGCAGTACTGTTTTTGACCAAACACAGAGACTTAATCACTGCATCAAAAGTTGTTTCACAACTTTTGGCTACGGGGAATAAGTGTGATTCTAGATACTTTTTACATCTGTATCTGCTTTCGCTATTTGAAGCTAACCCGCATGCTGGAAGGGATTTCCATGATATGCAGGTATGCGGAAAGAGAATTAAATTCATATTAGAAAATGCTTTCACACTAGAGTTGGTTTTGTTCTTAACTTTTGGAGTGATGGGGAGATTGAATCAGAAGAGGCTCATGGGATGAAAATTGATGTGCATAAATAAAAAGAATTGCATAATGGCTAAATATTATCATCTAAATTAATCTTTTGTAATGGCAACAGTGGAGTGTGAGGACATCCACTAGTGAGCTCCATCAATAAGTGCACCTTTTTTGCCAGAATCTACCTTCTTGTAGATGTTGGAACTATTAAAGTCTTCAGAACATTCTATGGAAAGATACTTCTATTGGAAATGGTGATATTTCGAATCATGGGATGTGGTAGTGCTATAAGTATGTTGTTGAACTAGTACGGGATGCCCGGTTCGAAAACTAAATCCAAAATTGTACTTTTTCACACATAAGCTTGAAAATAGGCCTTCAGGGGCCAAAATTGTGTCACAGCCATGAGACGGCCTGGGTAACACCTCAAACATCTCGGGAGGGACCAAAGTAAGTTGTGGAAACCTACGGAATTAGCACAGGACTCCCGGTTCGAAAACGAACTCCAAAAATGTACTTTTTCATACCTAAGCTTGAAAATAAGCCATCGGAGGCCAAAATCGTGTAACAGCCACGAGATGGCTCGGGGAACACCTCACACATCTCAGGGGAGACCAATGTGAGTTGTGGAAACTTACGGAACTAGCACGGGACTCCCGACTTGAAAACTAAGTCCAAAAATGAACTTTTTCACACTTAAGCTTGAAAATAGGCCTTCGGGGGCCAAAATCGTGTAACAGCCATGAGATAGCCCGGGTAACACTTCAAAAACCTCAGGAGGGACCAATGTGAGTTGTGGACACTTACAAAAGTAGCACGGGATGCCCGGTTTGAAAACTAAGTCCAAAAATGCACTTTTTTCACACTTCAGCTTTAAAATAGGCTATCGGAGGCCAAAATTGTGCAGCAGCCACGAGTCAGCCTGGGGAACACCTCAAACACCTCAGAAGGGACCAATGTGAGTTGTGAATATTTACGGAACTAGCACGAGACTCCCGGTTTGAAAACTAAATCCAAAAATGTATTTTTTCACACTTAAGCTTGAAAGTAGGCCTTCGGAGGCCAAAATTGTGTAACAGCCATGAGACAGCCTAGGTAAATCCCTCAAACATCTCGGGAGGGACCAAAGTAAGTTGTGGAAACTTACAGAACTAGCACAGGACTCCCAGCTTGAAAACTAAGTCCAAAAATGCATTTTTTTCACACTTAAGCTTGAAAATAGGCCATTGGAGGCCAAAATCGTGGAACAGTCACGAGACGGCCTAGGGAACACCTCAAACACCTCGGGAGGGACCAATGTCAGTTGTGGAAACTTACGGAACTAGCACGCGACTCCCGGTTTTAAAACTAAGTTCAAAAATGCACTTTTTCACAATTAAGCTTGAAAATAGGCCTTCGGGGGCAATAATCGTGTAACAGCCACGAGATGGCATGGGTAACACCTTAAACACCACGGGAGGGACCAAAATAAGTTGTGAAAACTTGCGGAACTAGCACGGGACTCCCGGTTCGTAAACTAAGTCCAAAAATGCACTTTTTCACACTTAAACCTGAAATTAGGCCATTGGAGGCCAAAATCGTGCAGCAGCCATGAGACAGCCTGGGTAACAACTCAAACACCCCGGGATAGACCAATGTGAGTTCTGAAAACTTACGGAACTAGCACGGGACTCGCGGTTTGAAAACCAAGTCCAAAAATGTACTTTTTCACACTTAAGCTTGAAAAAAGGCCTCCGATGGCCAAATTCGTGTAACAGCCACGAGACGGGCCGGGTAACACCTCAAACACCTCGGGTGGGACCAAAGTAAGTTGTGAAAACTGACGAAACTAGCACGAGACTCCCTGTTCGAAACCTAAATTCGAAAATGCACTTTTTCACACTTAAGCTTGAAAATAGGCCATCGGAGGCAAAAATCGTGCAACAGCCATGAGACGGCTCGGGGAACACCTCAAACATCTCGGGAGAGACTAGTGTGAGTTTGGAAATTTACGAAACTAGCACGGCACTCCCGGTTTCAAAACTAAATCCAAAAACGCACTTTTTCACACTTAAGCTTGAAAATTGACCTTTGGGGGCCAAAATCATGTAACAGCCATGAGATGGCCCGGGTAACACCTCAAACACCTTAGGAGTGACCAAATTAAGTTGTGGAAACTTACGGAACTATCACGGGACTCCTGGTTCGACAACTATGTCCAAAAATGCACTTTTTCACACTTAAGCTTGAAAATAGGCCATCAGAGGCCAAAATCGTGGAACAGCCACGAGACGGCCTGGGTAACACCTCAAACACTGCGGAAGGGACCAAAATAAGTTGTGAAAAATTACGGAACTAGCACGGGACTCCCGGTTCGTAAACTAAGTCCAAAAATGCACTTTTTCACACTTAAACTTGAAATTAGGCCATCGGAGGCCAAAATCGTGCACCAGCCATGAGACAACCAGGGTAACACCTCTAACACCTCGGGACGGACCAATGTGAGTTATGAAAACTTACGGAACTAGCACGAGACACTCGGTTTGAAAACTAAGTCTAAAAATGTACTTTTTCACACTTAAGCATGAAAAAACGCCTTCGATGGCCAAATTCGTGTAACAGCCACAAGATGGGCCGGGTAACACCTCAAACACCTCCGAAGGGACCAAAGTAAGTTGTGGAAACTTACGAAACTAGCAAGGGACTCCCGGTTCGAAAACTAAGTCCAAAAATGCACTTTTTCACACTTAAGCTTGAAAATAGGCCATCGGAGGCCAAAATCGTGCAACAGCCACGAGACGCCCCTGGGAACACCACAAACATCTCAGGAGAGACTAGTTTGAGTTGGGAAATTTACAAAACTAGCACGGGACTCCCGGTTTGAAAACTAAGTCCAAAAATGCACTTTTTGACACCTAAGCTTGAAAATTGACCATCAGGGGCCAAAATTGTGTAACAGCCACGAGATGGTTCGGGCAACACCTCAAACACCTCGGGAGTGACCAAATTAAGTTGTGGAAACTTACGAAACTTGCACGGGATTCCCGGTTCAAAAACTAAGTCCAAAAATGTACTTTTTTCACACTTAACCTTGAAAATTGGCCACCGGAGGCCAAAATCATGCAACAGCCACGAGACGGCCCGGTGAACACCTCAACCACCTCGGCAGAGACCAATGTGAGTTGTGGAAACTTACGGAACTAGCACGGGACTCTCGATTTGAAAACTAAGTCCAAAAATACATGTTTTCACACTTAAGCGTGAAAATGGGCCTTTCGGGGGCCAAAATCGTGTAACAGTCACGAGACGGCCTTGGTAAGAACTCAAACACCTCAAGAGGGACCAAAGTAAGTTGTGGAAACTTAAGGAACAAGCACGGGACTCCCGATTCGAAAATTAAGTCCAAAAATGCATTTTTTAACATTTAAGCTTGAAAATAGGCCCTCGGAGGCGAAAATCGTGCAACAGGCACGAGACGGCCCATCGAACACCTCAAACACCTCAGGAGGGACCAATGTGAGTGGTCAAAACTTACGGAACTGGCACGGGACTCCCGGTTTGAAATCTAAGTCCAAAAATGCACTTTTTCACACTTAAGCTTGAAAATAGTGCTTCGGGAGCGAAAATCAGGTAACAGCTATGAGACGGCCTAGGTAACACCTCAAATACCTCAGGATGGACCAAAGTAAGTTTTGGAAACTTACGGAACTAGTACGGGACTCCCGGTTCGAAAACTAAGTCCAAAAATGTACTTTTTCACACTTAAGCTTGAAAATAGGCCATTTGAGGCCAAAATCGTGCAACAACCACGAGAGGGCCTAGGTAACACCTCAAACTCGTTGGGACGGGCCAAAGTATGTTGTGGAAACTTACAGAACTTGCATGGGCCTCCCGGTTCGAAAATCAAGTACAAAAATGCAGTTTTTCACACTTAAGCTTGAAAATAGGCTAACGGAGGCCGAAATCGTGCAACAGCCACGAGACGGCTTGGGTAACACCTCAAACACCTCGGGAGGGACCAAAGTAAGTTGTGGAAATTTACGGAACTCGCACAGGACTCCCGGCTCGCAAACTCAATCCAAAAATGCACTTGTTCACACTTAAACTTGAAAATAGGCCATCAGAGTCCAAAATTTTGCAACAACCACGAGAAGGCCTGGGTAACACTTCAAACACCTCGGGACGGACCAATGTGAGTTTTGGAAACTTACGGAACTAGCACGGGACTCCTGGTTTGAAAATTAAGTCCAAAAATATACTTTTTCACACTTAAGCTTGAAAATTAGCCTTCGGCGGCCAGAATCGTGTAACAGCCACGAGACGGCCCGGGTAACACCTCAAACACCTCGGGAGGGACCAAAGTAAGTTGTAGAAACTTACGGAACTAGCACGGGACTCCCGATTCGAAAACTAAGTGCAAAAATGCTCTTTTTCACGCTTTGGCTTGAAAATAAGCCATCGGAGGCCAAAATCGTGTGACAGCCAGGAGACGGCCCGTGTAACACCTGAAACACCTCAGGAGGGACCAAAGTCAGTTGTGGAAGCTTACAGAACTAGCACGGCACTCCCGGTTCGAAAACTAAGTCCAAAAATGTACTTTTTCACACTTAAGCTTGAAAATAGGCCTTCGGGGGCCAAAATCGTGTGACAGCCAGGAGACGGCCTGTGTAACACCTGAAACACCTCGGGAGGGACCAAAGTAAGTTGTGGAAACTTACAGAACTAGCATGGGACGCCCGGTTTGAAAACTAAGTCCAAAAATGCACTTTTTCACACTTAAACCTGAAATGAGGCCATCGGATGCGAAAATCGTGCAACAGCCATGAGACAGCCTGGGTAACACCTCGGGACGGACCAATGCGAGTTATGAAAACTTACGGAACTAGAACGGGACTCCCGATTTGAAAATTAAGTGTAAAATTGTACGTTTTGACACTTAAGCATGAAAAAAGGCCTTCGCTGGCCAAATTCGTGTAACAGCCACGAGATGGGCCGGGTAATACCTCAAACACCTCAGGAGGGACCAAAGTAAGTTGTGGAAACTTACGAAACTAGCAAGGGACTCCTGGTTCGAAAACTAAGTCCAAAATTGCACTTTTTCACACTTAAGCTTGAAAATAGGCCATCGGAGG